GTCGAGGGTTTTTACGTTTCACACGTGTTGAATGACCCTCCCACCGCTCGACGGCAAAATTTTGGAAAAAAAAACTGGAAAAATTCTGGAAATTTTCAGAAAAAAAGTTGGGAAAATTTAGGGAGCCAGGCAGGGAAGTGGTTGGTAGGACAGGAAAGGGGGAGGCGTAGCAGAGGAGGGAACTTGTGGGGGGGGACGTATTTTCCGAAAGTTTACCTCAGCGGCAGGCTGTGCCATCATGCTGATTCTCTGCCCAAAGAGTCGTTTCACACAACTCGAGACTCCATATAGCAGCGGTTTCGAAATTTCTTCGGTGGCTGAGTTTCCCTGCTTCGGGCGCGTTATACCCACACGTCGTCGTGTTGGTGGTCATACCAGTGGAGGTAGGAGGGGAGGGGTGGGAGCGTGTTGAGGAAATAATTCCCGAACAAGCCATTCTCGAATGTGACATTTTCGCCCCAAAGCGAAGAAGAAATTTTCATTTCCATAACGGCAATTTCAGTTTCGCATAAGAAGTCTTTCGGTTGCCCCCTCCTTGCCGATTTGCGCCAAATTTTACTGTGACATTCCGCATGCCTACTCAGCGCGCTATAAAAACGCTTGTGTCCTTCTATTACGTGGCATGACTCATTTTCTTTGTGAAAAACATTTTTTAATACTTACCAGTTTTAGCTTTCCGGCAGCTATTCATGTGCGGACAATCTGACGCAACTCTCCAATGCTCGACCAATTCCAGGCGCTCAATCATCCGGTACTACAAGTAGTGTTTTCAGTCAATTCTGTTTACAGATTTTTATTCAAAATACCACGTCATTATGATCAGTCATTCACTCAAAGGTTTCGTAATGTGTTTGGGGAGGGGGTTAGATAAGAATTGTTCTTTTTGTGTGATGACGTTGAGCGACTGCATGGCGCCTTTATGTTGTCCTGCTGACAGCTACGTTCAATACCAGTACAGTTAGTGCCTGATTTCTTTGATTGCTCGGGAATGCTGACAGTGCCGGGTGGGCACAGGGGGACTGGTACTATGGGGGACTATCGATCTCATCACACCGATGTGACCAGTACTGAACACAATTTGTCTAGACGTTCAATTGTTTATTTTCTCTATTTGCTAAATGCACTCCGTATTCCGGAGATCAGGAGGGCGTGGTCGGTTGTTGGTGGCTGCGCTCTAGGAGGGATATTGACGTTATTAAAATAATATAAACAATATTAGAACAAAGTCTTCGCCGTTAATCAATCCTTTTTGGGATGCGGCACGCATTCTACTTCCAATCAGAATCGCAGCGTGCTGTGTGGCCGACACAATGACAGGTGGGGGCCAGCCGATGTACTCAGTGTTCTTATCCTCTCGGACCAATTTTCAGTCTCCAGATGGGATAGAAGGCATAGTTAGCCTGGGTGCGAGCCAATCCGCGATTTGACCGCAGACCGAGAGCGTAGGAAGAGTGTCAGTCGTCCCTACACCAAAAAGAAGTATCCTACGAAAACCGCACCTTGCACAGTTGCGCTAAGTTCGGATGAAGTTCGTAGCCACGCCCATTCATCTTCAGGATACGAACGAAAGGGTGAGAAGTGTAATTGGTAAGCGGGTTGGTTCAGCGTGAAGGCGAATAAGCAAAACAATACGAGACTGGGGATTAGTCTCGATAAAAGTACTTGAATAAAATCGAAAGCGGGACTCAACTCGAAGGCGAGAAACACCCTGAAGAACGCTTGAGTATAATTTTTACCGTGAATCGGCACTGGAACTTTAAACCGGAACTGAAAAAAATCTGAAAAAAATTAAAAAAACGCTCGAAATTTTCTAGTGACAAATAGTAACCTAAAGCGGTTATTTTAGGCTCTGGCCATTCGGGAAGCCCTATCACTATTGGAGGCGCCGCACTAGGATCAAACTTCCGGCAGGTGGTTTCGAGTTCAGCTCCCACCAGTTCGATCGATATGGATGCCATGCTCATGCAATCGTCACAAGAAGGTGGAGGAGGTGGTGGTGATGATTACTACCGTGACAGAAGGAAGAAGGATATTCACAATATGAGTAAGTTCTGCGCACATTTTCTTCGATGGATAGTTTCCAGCGAGACTGTTTCGACATTCTGTCAATAATATTGTTATTTGTTTACGATATTCTTATGTTTTCCAAATTGAGCAATAACATGAGGAGCAGTATACAAAAATATGGCCGCTGTTCGGTTTGGAAGGGCATTCGGCACTTTCGAAGGGCGTTTTGTCCTTGTATAACGGTGCTCCTGCTGTTGCATAGCTTTCTAGGAGTTAACGGGTGTCATCGGCAGTGATCAGTGCAAACCAGGAGCATGCCCCCACCAAGTCAAACTCGTTGAAATATGAAAAAATAATAGTGTAGCTCTAACGTTACTATTTATTCTTGAGCCTCATAATTGAGGAAAAAAAGAATTCATGCGGTAATGGGCATGAGTACACTTTCTCCCCAAACAGGGCAACTTGTCAGTGGAGATTTAACAAGCGCGGCGAAAAGACATCCGTGCGCGGCATTCGCACCAGTACCGAATGGATTCAGTGTGCGCGTGTCAAGTCAACTAGCTCGGAAACACTGCTAATTCCAAGAACCGCAACCAGTTGTAAATACCCTATCAATAGGTAGTCTCCTACATTTTTTTATATTCCCTGCGTAGATGAAACGCGATCACCCTTTAACTGCTTTCTTTCCCCCCCCCCTCGATTTCCATGAGTTACCGGAGTCTTCATGAATTACAGGCACGCTTGGAGCTTTGACGTACATGTATTGTAGTTCGCTGCGGACGGTTGGGCGTGTCAGGCGGGATGAGTTTGGCGCGGTGCCAAACCCGTTCTCCACCAGTTGTTAAAGCGAGCAAGTGATATGACTGTATCATATCGTTCGTATTACTCGTTTTCTACCACTTTTTGTCGCATGCGCGCTTCAACAAGAAGGCAGAGAACGGCTTTGACGGCGTGGCACACTCATACTGCCTGACACGCCCACCCGTCCACAGCGGAAAGCGCGTTACATATCTAGCCGTATTCCTATGTAGCGCTAAAAGCAAGAAGCTGGAAGCAAGTTTGATAAGACACTGCGTCGTGCCCTTTGACCCTTTGAATTTTTATATTTTATGGTTTGTGTTGGAAGGGTCAACGTCTTTCCATTTTTTTTCAAAGTCCATAGATTCCTTTTACAAGAGTACTGCGAAGTGCCACACTCAATTTATCAGAAGTGACTTTATTGTAAAAGTACTGAAGAACTTAGAAATACTGGTACGGGGATTGCACTTTACACCTGAGCTGCTGTTGATCTTTGAGAGCGCGCGATTCTTTTTTGACAAAAAAATGTT